CTTACTAATAGCCTGTAATACTCTGACAGAGTATATCTGAGTCTGGTTTGTGGCAAAAACCTCTGAGGACACAAATACTGTGAGATCCTACTGTGCTGTTTATGAACTAAAGGGTCGAACTTTTGCTACAGATGTATTTGCTAACTTTTGTCAGGGTTCCCTGTATAAAGAAACATCCCTCTTCCTGTAACAGTTGTCTCTGCAAAGACTGATGAGCGTGTGAGGTTGCAGAGATTGCGTCACAAAAGCTCAGTTGCTGCTTACATTTTGGGAACTATTTTTTTTCAACATGTTGATACTGGTATAAACAAAATGTAGCCACTTCCCCAGAGACATCTTCTGTCAAGTAGCCTCAAAGAAACACTGCTACGAGGGCCTGGAAATGCCATAAAAAACCCTGAACATTAAGAAAACAAACTCAATAATATTAATAGTTGAAAAAAATGTGATTGTGAATGAAATTTGTAAAGTAATTAATTAAAGAAATGTTGTGTGCATTAATATATCTGTCTGAGAGTGATTTTGTCATGTTTGTCTCTGTAATTTGTTTGTTTAATGAATTTGTTGATTTTACCATTTCAGTTCAACCCATATTCTGTTTAATTTCTAACATTATATTATGCAAATGAGGCGACTGCTACTCAAAGTGTGGTATTAAGTGAACTTTGTGGCTACATCTAGTTAAGAGACCATTAGAGAAGTGAGGCTACAGCCTCTTGGCCTTTCTTACATATAGTTTTATCTGCTGCATTAGTGTGGAGTTATTACCATCATCTCACATCTAAAAAGGCAAGATAATATCCACTATCTCCACAGTTGGCAACAAGAGAATAATTCTGTTTCTGTTTTAGTCGGCGGCATCCTGAGAAATCCATAAGTCTGCACATGCAGCTAACAGTGGCGATGTTCTGCCTCCATCTCACCTTCCTGCTGTCCAGCCTCCTGGTCCAACTGAAGGAAAAAGAGGACGGCTCATCTTGCCTGGTACTGGGTCTGGTTTTACACTGGTCCCTGCTGGCCACCCTGACCTGGAGTGCTCTGGAGGGCTTCCACCTCTACCTTCTGCTCATCCGGGTCTTTAACATCTATGTGAGGAGGTACCTGCTCAAACTCAGCCTGATTGGATGGGGTGAGTGTCGTTTAGGTGGGACGCTGCTCTGCAATACACTGTCACAAATCTTTAAATGAAAGTGGATTGTGTAGAAGTGTTACATCACAATAAAGGGTTTAAGGTCAAGTAAATTTGCTTTATTTGCATAACCTATTTAAGCACAATAGACACTGACCAAACACTAGGGCAAATAGGTACAAAACTACTTAAAAAAATCACGAATCACGAAATTTCTTGTATGTATTTTAAAAGTAATTAAATGGCACTGTTATAAATTAGGCCTTAATTGAAAAGGCTGTCTAAGAGAGATGTGTTTTAAGTTCAGATAATAATACTGTGAAACAGACGATCTGATATGGACGATCGTATATTGTTCAGCTTTAGTCATTCTGATTTATTCTGTTGTTTAGAATCAACAGCTGTTGGTAAGATCACCTGTGCAGTCAGCATGGGGCACAAAATTTTAAGGACAGGGTTCGTACAGGTGCTTGAAATCCTTGAAAATGATAGAATTTCAATATTGTATTTTCAAGGTTTGAAAAGTGCTTGAATTTCAGATGTGGTGCTTAAAAGTGCTTGAAAGTGTAGCTGTATGTCATTCACCACAAATAACTTTCTGATTGAATAGTTTTCTTATCAGATAGAGAAATAAGAGTCGCAAAATGTAAAAGCAAAATATCAATTTGGGTCGAAAGTGCCGACTTCAAACTATACACCAGTTTTTAAATTGTGTTGATAGGCCATGTAAAACCAGAGGTATGATAAAAAATACACACAATGTTTTTTTCTGAATAAAACAGTGGTGTTTGCAGGGGAACAAACTGTAAAAACGGCGTTTTCTACGGACAGCACTAGCAAACACTCTCAGCTTGGGAGTGAAAAAAAGGAAAAGAAAAAATACTCCTTCCCTATTGGTGGAAAAATGTACCATTTCGACCAATCAAAAAATGACATGGCAAGATGTGGCATTTGGTTGTTTAGGAAGAGGGGGAAGTTTTAGGAGTGACACTAGCGAGAGAGAGCAAGTGAGCGAAAGAAAGAGAAAGCGAGTTTTGATACGTGAGAGATTTGTGACGTTTACCATGTTTGGAGTCTCAAGTTAGTGTGTTATCTTGTGTAGTTAGTGTGTAGTGTAGTCGTTGTTTTGATTTGTGTGTCACTTCTACTAGAGAATGTCACAGTTGCTGCAAAAAAGCCACAAAAGGCAGATCGCAGTGTAAACGCTGTCTCCAGGTGGAAAACAGGAGTGACACACCTGCTGTCAGACCTGCAGGTTTATCCCTGTGCTGTTCTCCTCTGTCTTAGTGGATACAAATTATTTTTTGGAGTTGCATAAAGAATTTGTGTGCCTTCCTGTTTGGTGCAAAACACCTTACTGTTCTGTAAGTAGTTTTAAATGGTTATATGAGCCTTGGTTGCATTTTTGGGTGTAAATAGTACCATATAACTTTGTTGTTTGAAAAACTTGTGCATATTTTTTTTAAATGTACAATTTCTATTTGCATTTCAAGTCATAAAAATGATTTGTTAAACATGGTTTTACAGTCAAAAGTATAACTCGTATTTTACATTTTGTCTGAATTTAGATCAGTTGTGCTTATACAGTATGTCAAAATGAGAAAATAACAGATTGGCAAGATAAACAGTTTTTAAAGGTGAAATATAGACACCAAATAAAAAGTAGTCAAAAACGGCCAATTGTACCCTGGACATCAGAGGGGTAAAGGGGTAAAGAAATAATGGTAATATGAGGGACCGATCCATATGGTCACAAAGAATAGCCACTTGTTTCTGTGCTACCAAAGTTCCCCAGCTTTCATTCACAATGTGTTTATCATCAGCACCTACACATTAAACTACTTAAACATTATAAGTGTCTTCAAGCTCACAATGAGGCCACAATGAGGCCTGTGGGGCACAATCAGCCACTGAGACAGTAGATACATTTATATGTGTTTTTATAAATGAATATTTCATACTTTAAGACTGCCTGTTTATTTAACGGAGATGAACAAAATACTGTAGCGGGTCAGGGCTGTTTGGGGTTTGACAGCTATGTTCTGTTGTTCCAGGCGGCAGCGTTATGTTGCCATGGTTACAGGTGACACTCTCTCTCTGCGACTGTGTGTTTCTGGGTGGAGAGAGCGCCTTTTTTTTTGTGGTTGTTGATATGCTAGAGCTACGCCGAGCAGTTGAGTTAGCAGCGTTGTGTTTCCTGTTGAATGCTAATAAACGTCTGTGCTCCCTGGCTAACTCTGTGTGAAGCAAGACCAAACGATCCCTCTGTCTCCTCCTTGTCACAATGCATTAGAATTATACATAATAATATCATAGATGATAGATTAAATAAATAGATTTTAAGTAGATGCTTGTGCATTCTTAAAGTCTTATATATTGAATTGAACTATGTGATCTATTCAAAGCCTCTCGCAGTCAGTGCTGTTCTCCATGCCTGTCTGACTGTACATGATGTTATTAGCACAAACACTTTAAAGGTGATCATTTAGGACTTCAGCAATAATACAGACAG